TTGTTGTTGCTTCGCGGCTGGACAGCAGCCACCTGATCTCCGTCACTTGATGCTGGAGTGGCTGCTGGGTTATCTCCACTGTCCGACTGGACTGCAGCGAACTGCTGCTGTCGCGGACCAGTTCTTACCTTCTCCACATAGGTTGGCTGCCACGTTGACTTCTCGTGTGCAGCTGCCCTGTCAGTCTTGATGATCTCCCTTGCCTTGTTGATGATCTCTACGAAAGTGTTGTACTGCTCGCGATCACCAAGTGCTAGGCTGAGAGTGGCGCATGACCTGTTGTAGAACTCACGCCGCAGATGCGGAAATGGCAAGTCCAAATCGGGCGTTGCCACGATCTTCTGCCAATCCGTGAGCCAGTCACGTGTCGGTGTGCTCCCTTGAGCCATCGTGAAGATGCGGTTGATGGCGAGTGTCGGTGCATCGTCGACGATGAACCGCTTCTTCCATTCCTTCGTCATGTCCTCCCAGGAGACCTTCTTGTACAGGTCTGAAACCTGGACGCCGTGGATGGTTGCCATGTGGCTGAGCCAGATCTGACAACCTCCCTTGGTGTTGATGAACAGAGCATTGATGAACAGATGGTCAGGGACTTCGTGAATCCCCAACCTTTGTTGTAAATCCTTGCCACCAGACGACCGGGTCTTGATGTGTGTAGTCATCAAATATCTCGATCCGGAACGTCGGCATCTTGTATGGCCTCGCCGAGCTGTTGTTGTGGCTGTGGTCAGTCTGCTGTTGCTAACTGATCTTAGTGTCCAGCAACTCGAACCGCTGGCTGATGGTGGCCGGCTCTGTGAAGGCACTTATGCCTCCTAGCATTGCCACTACGTGGTCAACGTGTTCCTCCAGTTGGCGGCTAGAGGATGCACTGCTGGAAAAGCCAGCATCTGGTCCTGGTACAGCCTGTTCCAGGTCCAGTACACGGGCGTCCAGTGCCCGTGTGGCATCCTCGTGCTGAATCTTATGGTTCCGCACGGCACGCTGAAGGTTCGCCAGCTCGGACTGTAGGTGGTTACAAGTGTAAACCAGCCTGGTCACGAGCTTGGCCATGAACTCTTTGTGCTGCTCTTCCGGTGTTGCCTCGTCGCCGTTCGGTTCAAAATGCCAGTACTTGAGTCTCTCGATGCTTGTGGCTTCATGTCGCTGCAGCAGATCCTGGGCTTCCTTGCGCCGAGCCTGGGCATCTGCGTCTGCTTCGGCCTGTAGCCGCAGCTTCTCTGCTGTTGCCGCTTCTTCAGCCTGTAGCTGGGCAGCCTTGACTGCCAGCTGGCGTTGTTCCTCAACCTCGATTACAGCGAGCTGAGCCTAAACGCGCTTTTTGTAATCGGCAATGGGCTCATTGGCCAGTTGGCCTGGCAGGCCCGTCATGTTGCTGATGTGGCACTGCTGACGTGGCACTGCTTACGTGGCACTGTGGCTGACGTGGCACTGCTGACATGGCACTGCTTATGTGGCACTGTGTCTGACGTGGCACCGCTGACATGGAACTGCTTACATGGCACTGCTTACGTGGCACTGTGTCTGACATGGCACTGCTCACGTGTCACCGTTGCTGACATGTCACTGCTGATGTGGCACTGCCGTGTCACTGTTGCTGACGTGTCACTGCTGATGTGTCACTGCTGATGTGGCACTGATGTGTCACTGCTGACGTGTCACCGTTGCTGACGTGTCACCGTTGCTGACGTGTCACTGCTGATGTGGCACCGACGTGTCACCATTGCTGACGTGGCACTGCTGACGTGGCACTGTACCAACTGGGAAAAACATTCAAAGGGTGGGTGGGAGGGAAAACGTAGGTAGGCAACCAACCCAACAATACTTTCCTCCGGCCCTAATCAACAGATAAAAAATAAAATAAAAAAA